TACCTGATGAACTTTGATAGGAAATAGGGATTTAGTAGCAGGTAGTCTTAATTACTATTGGCAAAATGCCTTAATTTACATTTCTAAGAGTCCAGAAAACTTAAATATAAGTTTCAAAATGGCTTTAATCTAGTTACTGTTAATTCTGAAGTCATCACAGAAAATCTAAAAGCCAACTGTGGCTTATGAGAAATTTTGATTCATCTGCAAATCCATCATATTCTAGGCAATTTGCTTAACATCTAATGGCCTCTATTTCCTCATCTGTGAAATGGGGATTATAAATAAGCACCTGATAGAGTTGCCTTGATGATTTAATGATGTAACATATTTCTCAAATGGCTGAATATAATAAACATTCAATAAAGTTTCCCCATCCCTCACCCATGTCTATATATTTACTATTTGCTTCATGTTTTCAGTGCTGAGGGAAAAACGAAATTGAATAAGCAGAATACGTTCTAATTAAGGCAGTGAACATTCTTGAGATGTAATTAGTACATATTATGTTATTATAATATATTCTTACAATATAATTAGTATATAGTATATAGCAAAGAGCCATAATACTAAGCAATGGTAATAATAATACTCATTGAAGAATTACTTTTGTGTCAGGCACTATGTCTTACATGCATTTATTTTCATTTAATTTTCATAGCAGGCCTGTGATTTAGGCATTATTGTCATCATCATTGTCCCCATTTTACAGCTGAAATGCTGAGGCTTAGGCTAATTGTCTAAGTACCATCTAACACTTATCTTGATCTGCTAACTCCTGATTCCATTGACTAGGTTCTTTGACTGGTTGGAATCAGTGAAGAAAACAAGGAAGATGGTAATATCTCTGTCCTAGCTTAGAGAGATGGTGTATCAAAACAATCACAAGCCAGGGCCCTAGATCTGCACTGTCCAGTATGGTAGCTACTAGCCACGTGGAACTATTAAGGACTTGAAATGTGGCTCTCATCTGGATGGAGTCCTTGCTCTACTACTTACTATGTTAATAGCAGGTTACCTACCCTCTATGCCTTTCATCTGAAAATGGGGATAATAGCACCTACTTCATAGGGCCATTATGAGGTAGGGGAATTGATATTTGTAATAGGCTCAGTGTCACCAGTCAATATTAAGCTCTCTATATATCCTTAAAAGAGGAAAATCAGCAAGACTTAGTGGTTTACCTGATTGTAGAGGTCAAGAGAGAGGAGGTGGCATAGTAAGTCCAAGTAATGAACTTAGGTCACTAGGAGGACGACTCACAATACCATAAGAAATGAGAGAAATGAGGTGGTTGGAGTCAGTTTATTGCAGCATCATTTCCAAAAGCAAAAGGCGACAAACAACCTAAACCTCCATCAGTAGGAGGGTGGTCACATTCATCTAACAGATCCTTAAGGCAGCTGAATGAAGAGAGAGGTTTTATATACTAATATGGAACTGTCCACAATGTATACTTCTAAGTGGAAAATCAAGGTATGTATAATATGTTAGCTACTGTTTGCTAAAAAGAAAACAAAGGCGGCAAATACATATGTTTGTTTGTATATGCACGGAGTATCTCCGGAAGGGGTAACAAAACTTATTCCTTGCCTCTGAGGAAAAAACCTAGGTGACTGGGATACAGGGATGAGAGAGATTGACTTTTCTCTGTATGTCTTTCTTTTGAATTTTGAATCTTGTGAATCTAATATTTACAGCTAATCAAAATCTCTGATAAACTAGTTTCCAGTTGCAAAGTGTAAAGGGGGAGTTAGTTAATTGAGGGAAGATGGCATAAGGAATGGGAAGACAACTGGAATGACTCCCAGGAGCGACTTGGAGATGTAGGGCCAAGCTCTGGTTTTCATGCTAAATGCCTATTGCATTAATTATTTTTCTGTCCTCTAATTTAAAAAAAAGGGCAAATACAAGATACCACCTAATAAAAATTCAACTGCCATTCCATTAGGTTCAGGTGAACATTTCTGTGGGAACTCAGCTCTCTGCTCTCCTGCTATCATGCTATCAGGCTGGTAAACCACCTACAAAAAAAAGATGCCATTCTGTGTTTGGAAATCTCATTCTAGTTATGGAAATAAACACATAAACTCCTGATTACATGACATGATAAGACCTATAATAGAGGGATAAGCTGGAAACTAGTTATGCCTAGTGGGAGGGGCTGGTCAAGAAGGTCTCAGACATGGAAGCAACACTGGCACAGACCTGGAAAGATAAGTTTAATAGCAGAGAGCCTGGAAGTGACTATCCAGATGGAAGAAAAGGCAAAGTGAAGGAGGAAGGTGTGCAGGTATGATGGTATATTCAAAGAGCAGTAAGTCACTCAGGGCCAGTAAGCCAGTGTTTAAGTATGCGTGGAAGTGAAGAGGCAAAAGCTAGGTTTGTGGATGTGCCATGACCATATAAAGAACAGGTCCCATACATTGTGGCTGTCTTCTGTGCCCCTTGGATTATGGATGAAAACTTTCATATGTAAATGGAGTTGTTTAGCAAACATAAGTTTGCAAAGAGCAAGAGCTGATGCCTGAGAAATAGCTGAATGGTGGGACAAATAGGGCATGTTCTATGTTTATGGAACTAAAAATCATCCGGTATAGCCCAGGTGGCAAGGCCGGGGCTGGCAGGAGGATTGGAGAGGTGGGCAGAAGCTAGCCCACAGGAAGCTTTTCACTGGACTTCATCCTGTAGGTGGGAGATAGAAAGCCATCCTGTTTAGGGAGACAGGATGTGGAGAGGATTGAGGACAAGAGCCAGAGGGTCAGAATGGGAAAGAAGCTCAGCTAGACAGAAACATGGAAGGCAGAGGAGAGCTGCGTATGTGTCTGGAGGGCCTGGGCCTGAAAGAGAAACTGAATGAATGTTTTTATTTGGTGTTTAGGGCAAAGAGGTTGAAAGAGGGGAGTCACATAATCAGGAAACATTCATGAATAGCACCCCCGCAGCTGTGTGGCAAGTGATCGAAAGGGAACAGGACCAGAGAAGGACAGGAAAACTGGTCAGGAGGAAGGGGCCTCAACTCAGTTGAGCAGTGAGGAGATCGTGGAAGTGGAGGTGGCAGCTTGTGGGAAGGTGGGCCACATGTGCCCCTTTATACCTGTTCCAAATTACTTTTTTTAAGAATCATGACACTTAGGGTGTCAAATGAAATTTTTTCCATTGACTCTGTTTCTTGTCCCCATCTACATTAATGCTACCTATTCTTAGCATAAATATCTTTTCCTTGGTGTTGACTCCTTCAGCCCTCTAGACTGGGTGTCCCCAGAGTATCCTGTATGTCCCCAATTGTAGCTCTCCCCATGCTTTCTTTTATTTCTGGGTCAGCTGTCTGCCTCCTCTCCTAGACCATATCCTTCATAGGACTTTTTTTTTTTTGAGACAGAGTCTCACTCTGTCACAAGGTTGGAATACAGTGTCGCGATCTTGGCTTACTGCAACCTCCACCTCCTGGGTTCGAGCAATTCTGCTGCCTCAGCCTCCTGAGTAGCTGGGACTACAGGCACGCACCACCAAGCCCAGCTAATTTTTTAAAAAAAATATTTTTCGTAGAGACGAGGTTTCACCATGTTGACCAGGATGGTCTCAATTTCATGACCTCGTGATCCACCTGCTTTGGCCTCCCAAAGTGCTGGGATTACAGGCATGAGCCACCACGCCCAGCCAAGGGCAGGGACTCTTTCTTGATGCTGTCAACACTAGTGTCTAGTACACTAGGTAGACATAATACAGGTGCATAGTGGACGCACCATAATTTGTTAATACATGCATAAATGAATTATTAATTCAGATATGTAGGGTCTCTGAATTAATCATTCATTTATTGTTAGTTCAACATTTTAAAAATTTGTTCCAAAATAATGACTATCTCTCCCCCCGCCCTATACAGTGTGATATGTTTTAGGAACAACAAATGCCAATTAACAAATAATATACTATTTTAATGATTACTTTAATTTTTACAGATATTACTCTATACTTCTAATTTTTAAAATAAACTAAAAAAATAAATAGCCCACATTTAAAACAAACATTTGTAAACAGTAAAGTCAGTTCTCTGACTGTTTGTTTTGAAACAAAACCAAATTGCTGAGCTTAGAATTGAAAAGCCTTTTAAGTTTGGCCCCTCCCTCTTAACTGTTCACATGGAAATCTGTGGACACTCTCCGGCCTCTCTCCTGTCATCAGGCACACTTGTGTCACCAGCCTGCTCATGAGGGGTGCCGTCAGGGGGCCTTCTCCATCATCCTCCTCCCGCTGTTAAAAATCTCAGTCCCCATAACCCTCAGTGCAAGTGTGGTCTTTGTGGCATTTTTCTTGGTTGATGTGGACATCCTAGACGTTCATGTCAGTCATGGCTAGTCCAGACCTCCCCTCCTCTGGGTGAAGAAACTTGTCTTGAGGAGCAGCTCTCCCCACAGGGCCTCAAGCTTCCTCAGTTCCCGCTAGCTCCCTCCTCCCCACTTACATGTAACACACAGGCCACACAACTCACCACCTGATTCTACGCCGCCTTATTCTTTGGTTGTCTTTTACATTTAGTCTCATTTGTCTGACAAGGTGAGTCATGTGACACATCAATGCTCTCTCTGGCCCCCACCAGCACCGGGATAACATGTGATGTGATAGGAGAAGCCAGGTGATAAGCCCTTCCTAACGCGAGTATGAAATGGACATTGCCCCCAAGAAACATTTCATTTGGCTCAGCCTTTTTGGCCCTGGAGGTCATTCCTGGACTTACACACTGACTTCAATACAGAGGGTTTAAATAATGAAAGGCTCGTCTGTTTCTGGTAGGTGCCACTCCATGCCCGAGCTTTGGGGAGCTTTTCTCTGAGCGACTGACTCATTTCGTTGACTGAATCTGATGAGGACTTGACCTCCCACTGTTGAGAGACAGGAATGAGTTGCCACGACAGGACGTTTGCCAGGCTTACAGTGTCTCTTTGTTTTTATTCTCCCTGTTTCTCACCATTCAGCTTATTTGTTTTCCCTCCTCTTAGGATTGCCCCCTGTGGGTCACTTTCTCAGTCATTTTGAGTTCAGCCTAATAAAAGACTGAGGTTATGAAGTCGATCCTAGATGGCCTTGCAGATACCACCTTCCGCACCATCACCACAGACCTCCTCTACGTGGGCTCAAATGACATTCAGTACGAAGACACCAAAGGTGACATGGCATCCAAATTAGGATACTTCCCACAGAAGTTCCCTTTAACTTCCTTTAGGGGAAGTCCCTTCCAAGAGAAGATGACTGCGGGAGACAACTCCCAGCTAGTTCCTGCAGACCAGGTGAACATTACAGAATTTTACAACAAGTCTCTGTCATCCTTCAAGGAGAATGAGGAGAACATCCAGTGTGGAGAGAACTTCATGGACATAGAGTGCTTCATGGTCCTGAACCCCAGCCAGCAGCTGGCCATCGCGGTCCTGTCCCTCACACTGGGCACCTTCACGGTCCTGGAGAACCTCCTGGTGCTGTGCGTCATCCTCCACTCCCGCAGCCTCCGCTGCAGGCCCTCTTACCACTTCATCGGCAGCCTGGCGGTGGCAGACCTCCTGGGCAGCGTCATTTTTGTCTACAGCTTCATTGACTTCCACGTGTTCCACCGCAAAGATAGCCGCAACGTGTTTCTGTTCAAACTGGGCGGGGTCACGGCCTCCTTCACTGCCTCCGTGGGCAGCCTGTTCCTCACGGCCATCGACAGGTACATATCCATTCACAGGCCCCTGGCGTATAAGAGGATCGTCACCAGGCCCAAGGCCGTGGTGGCATTTTGCCTGATGTGGACCATAGCCATTGTGATTGCCGTGCTGCCTCTCCTGGGCTGGAACTGTGAAAAACTGCAATCTGTTTGCTCAGACATTTTCCCACACATTGATGAAACCTACCTGATGTTCTGGATTGGGGTCACCAGCGTGCTGCTTCTGTTCATCGTGTATGCATACATGTATATCCTCTGGAAGGCTCACAGCCACGCAGTCCGCATGATTCAGCGTGGCACCCAGAAGAGCATCATCATCCACACATCCGAGGACGGCAAGGTACAGGTGACCCGGCCGGACCAAGCCCGCATGGACATTAGGTTAGCCAAAACCCTGGTCCTGATCCTGGTGGTGTTGATCATCTGCTGGGGCCCTCTGCTTGCGATCATGGTGTATGATGTCTTTGGAAAGATGAACAAGCTTATTAAGACGGTGTTTGCATTCTGCAGTATGCTCTGCCTGCTGAACTCCACCGTGAACCCCATCATCTATGCTCTGAGGAGTAAGGACCTGCGACACGCTTTCCGGAGCATGTTTCCCTCTTGTGAAGGCACTGCACAGCCTCTGGATAACAGCATGGGGGACTCAGACTGCCTGCACAAACACGCAAACAACGCAGCCAGTGTTCACAGGGCTGCAGAGAGCTGCATCAAGAGCACGGTCAAGATTGCCAAGGTAACCATGTCTGTGTCCACAGACACGTCTGCCGAGGCTCTGTGAGACTGATGCCTCTCTGGCAGCACAGGAAAAGAATTTTTTTTTTTTTTAAGCTCAAAATCTAGAAGAGTCTGTTGTCTCCTCGGTTATATTTTTTTAATTTTACCATGCTCAGTGAAAAGGTGATTGTCACCATGATCACGTATGAGTTTGCTAATGTTTCCATGGTTTAGGTACTTAAACTCCGTTCTCCAGGGGTTTGCAGTGAAGAAAGCCTGTTGCTTAAGTGACTGAACGATCCTTCAAAGTCTCAGTGAAATAGGAGGGAAACCTTTGGCTACACAATTGGAAGTCTAAGTACCCATCGAAAAACACCATCAAATAAGTAATGCCTTTGTAACCACAACTTCATTATAATGTGAAATGTGGCTGTCTATAGTATCAGAGATGTCCATTTTTACAACCGTTATAATACTGAAGTAGAGATATTTTGTAAACTGTATTATGTCCTGTGAGATGTATATCAGTGTTTATTACATGTTATTAATACTTGTTTAGTCCAGCAAAACTGAAAGGTAGACTTTTATGAGAACAATGGACAAGCAGTGGATATATGCCAATGAGAACACCTTTTTATCCTACATTATTCCCCATGATACAACTTTAGAAATAAACCTTAATATTTCTTCAAATATCTCTATTTAATTCTGACACTGAAATAACCATAAATATTTATTTTTCTGTTACCTCAACAAGAAGAATTTGAAGACTTCAAAGTATTGAGCAGAATTCACTCATACTTAAAAATTTATTAGTCCTGCATTTTCATAGGAAGATACTTATTATCTTCTGGACTATAGCTGTTCTAATGGATTATAATCAGAATGGAAGAGAGAAAACATACTGACTTTTTTGAGCGACATCTCTGACTTTATTTAGTCTTTAGCTATTACTGGATCTCTTAAGACAGCATGTGTTAACCTTAGTGTATATTGTTATCACTGTGCAGTTGCTGTTTACTTGAATAGTATTGTGTTCCTATATTCCAGGTTTAAGTAGATTTCATGCCTGGGTAGCCAAACAACAGTCATTTTTTTTTTTTAGTTGAAAAGAAGTATTGTCTGGATCAGTAAAATTATACTGTGTGTGAGTGTGAATATAAATGTGCGTGTGTTTCTCTCCCGTAACTGTTACAGTAATGTTATAAAGTGAGAAAACTGTGACCCAGTATAAACTGTTGCCACTTGCTGCACTCTTGCACATGAATTCAGTTCTAAAATTGAGTTCTTCTTGGAACCTTATTGATAAAAATACTCACTATAACCATTCAAAAAATTCACCCCATCCCTTCTTAAGAGATTGGATCAAGTATTACTAAATTGACCTTTAGGTATTAAATAAGACCAGTGTTTAACAAGAAATAATGACAGACATCCAAGTAAAGCCTGTATTTATAGTGTTACTATCAGGAAAAGAGAATACTTCGGTTTCTGAGTACCTGATATTGAGCAAGGCATTAGTCACTAAAAGGAAGATAGTTCTCCAAAAAAAAAAAAAGTAACATTTTTCAATTGTGTGTGTAGGTAGTGTGCACTGTATACATCATGTTAAAGTAGGACTCACACGCAGCCCACATGGCTAAAAAGGCTGAGTCAGACAGTGAATGAGACACACAACGGCAGTGAGGAGCCAACACACTTGGAATTGAGGTCTAGATATGCTGCTTCTGTGCTTTGCCCACATGCCTTTGGTGACAGCCGAGCACCCAGCTTTGTCTTGGTAGGTTTGGGCTAAGGAACAGACCTCTCCTTTGCTCATGGTCAGCAAGATGTACTAAAGCATGAAGATAAACACAGCTTCTTTCTTATACCCCAGACTCATACTCCTTAATGATACAATGGGTGCTCATTGTTGGGCCTTTTTCCAGAAAGGAATGATATTGCTGAAAAATCCACTCAACCCTGATAACTTCTATTTATAATCTCTTCTTACACAGATAAAGCATGACTCCTGCAAGGCCCCAAGGTCTACATAGTGTGAAGTAGAGAGCTGGCATCTATCTGGTGATTTCCAGCTCTCAAGATACCCAGCAGCCCGATGGGGTAGTTTCCCTTCTTGCAGTTCACTCTCTAAGGCAGGATGTGGCCCGTGAGTTACTTTGCATTGCCTGTCTGCACACTTTGAATCTGCCTGCTGGTTCTCTTATTTTACCTCTCTGTGATGTGCAGATGAGGGCTCAGGGTGCTAGAAGATTAATAAGATGTCTTTAGAAGGAGAGATTATTTACAAGTTTCCATTTAAGAATTGCCAGTCTTTTGTCCTGCATCATCTGGAACAGTAATCCACACGTTTCAGAGCTCACCAGGCAGTACCAATGCTCTTTTCACAGCTGTGAAGAGCTAGTAGAGATGAAATTCTTGTTATGGTCTAAAAATTTTAGGATTCATTTCTGAAACTGCATTTGTGCATATGCAATGTAGATTTTATAGTGTGTTGTGCTTTCAAGATCTAAATCATATATAATCAATTAAGGGACAATGGGGCTGACAGCACTAAATTTGGTGCTTATTGATATTCTAAAAAGTATCTGTGAAATCTCATCACGTATGTGTTACACAACCTTCATTTAAAAACATTTAAAACTAGTTGGATTCACTTTGACGTTTTTCATATCATTTATTAACCCAAGTGACGAAAATGTTGTCCCCAATGAATATACTCATGAGAATTACCATTCGTTAGTATCACTCATTAATTAGCCCCATAATTAGATCCATTAATTTAAATATGATTTAAATTTAAGTAACTTTTATAAAGTCTGACATCAGAGGTATCTTACTTTCCTCTGAGGATGATGTATTTGCCCTGACCATGAATTTTCTTATCACACATGTCTTTAGAAAGGGCCAAATTCCCAAACTGCTCTTTTTTTTTTTTTTTTTTTTTTTTTTTGAGTCATGATGAATAAGTCCTAGAATGTTTCATTTGGACAAGTAGGGCTGCCTCCAAGAAGAACCTCTGATGTATCATTTCTTATGAAATATATGTGAAAGAATATGGATCTGGAAGATTCTGTAAACATCTGCCCTACACTTGAGATGATTCCCAAGCCTCTCTGGCACTTTTGAGTTCGGTCTGTCTGGTATGAAATGCCAAGGACCTTTTGCTGCCTAAACCCACTCTGCAGGAAATCAGCCCAACCACTAGATGAGAATTAGGCCCTGAATGAGTAGCGCTCTAGTTACTGTCCTGTTGATTGATTTCTGCCATTTCATGTCCATAAAAAAGACCACCAATATCATGCACACAATTAGATTTCTCACACTCTAACTGTATATTTGTATGATATTTTAAAATCTCCTAAATGCTGGGCAATGGCTGTTAACAATTAATTGTCTTGCACTGGCCTGATGAAATGTTAACAATTCCTACTGTAATATAGAAAAAAAATTCTATCTACTGATTTGGGCTGAATGTATGTAAATAGGTTTCTAAAAAGTCAGATGTTTAAGCAGTGGCCTACAAATCAGTAATTTTCAGGTGGGAGAGTTTCTTTACATTGCTGTGGCATCTTAAAAGCTATCTTCATGTAAATTGACTGTACTAGGCCTACTGGGGATCAGAGTTCCCAAGAAAGGAAACCTTTTCTTGTAATAATACAAATCAAGATACCAGATTATCTGGATTCTTATTTCCAGTGTTTCAAGTGGAAAACATGACTCTTTATTGTCTGTAAATCTAACATTATTACTTTTCCTCTTAGAAGAATATTGTATTGTTAGATGTTTGTTGAGCTGGTAACATCGTTGCAACAGCTGCAATATCTTTGTTAGTAATCTGTATAATACTTTGTATACAAGTACTGGTAAGATTGTTATTAAATGTAGCTTCAGTCATTAAATTACTATAGCAAAGTAGTACTTCTGTAATATTTACAATGTATTAAGCCCACAGTATATTTTATTTCAATGATGTAATTAAACTGTTACTTATTCAAAGATAAAACATCTCATCATGTCTGTTGTCCAAACTTACCTGGAATCAAATAAAAATTCTAGATTGCCATGAAGAACACAAAATGCCTTTGAACTCTGCCTTATTTCACAGTCTGATGGTAAAACACTAGAGATTTAATTTCTCAAAGATTGTCAAACTAATTTGTTTTTCAAAAAGCACTTACAACTTTACTTGAAAAGTGAGGACATACTGGATAATCTATTTATTTTTAACATAGGAAAAACACAAAAGGCTATTTTTTACACAAATAAAGCAGAAAAGACAATCATACATTTAAAAAGCATTCTTTCATTAAAGATTTTAACCGACTGCAGCAAATTAAAACAAACATACTATTCATAATGTGTAAATTAAATTGAGAAAACATAGTACAACATAAACTGAAAGAATTTATAAGCATTGTATATTTTGAAAAGAGGTAAGTGCTTTTCAACACAGTTTGTAAAAACTCATAATTTCTATTTGAACAATAAGAGAAACTAACTTTAAATTTTATAATGAAGAAAGCATTACAATGAAGTTTAAATATTATTACTGTCTGAAATAAAGTATGTTTGCAGTCAATTTTGAAAGATTTAGAAATTTTCAATTAAATATTTGAAAATAGATTATACTGAAATATTGAGAGTAGATTATCTTTTTTTTTTGATAACTGTGGTCAAAAATTGATCGTTCTGCCTCTTTTAGTAAATACTGGCTAGGTGCATAAGCTGAATGCTTCCTAACAAAAAGCAAATGATAGGTATTCTTAGCTCTTGAATTTCATACTAGGACTTAATGAGAGAAAGATACTTATTTCAGTGTCTTCATAGAGTACCTTAAAACTCAAAAATGAATCCACAATCAATATGTGTTACTATCTATATTGAAATACGCATTTGGAATAATGTAGAAACAAAATCAATTAAGACACGCAGGAACTCCAGTTTGCCTCAGGGATGGTTCCAACTGGAAAATTCCTGTACTCATCTCCAGAATATTCTGTAAGAGTTTTTCCTGGATTGAAGGTAATACATGTAAAGTTCTTGGCCCCATATTGGATTTTAGAAAATGACCAAAATACATCATCATTGTTTCTTTGCTCCCTGCCTCTGGAATGCTGATAGTAGAAATTTGGAGGGTATATATCTGGTTAGCTTAGGAGATGAAATGTGGAATGGGCATGTCTCCGAACATCTCAGAAATGCTGGTCATTAAGTACTGTCTCAACCATTTCAAAAGTTTCTGTGTAATAGTAAATAACAAATACCTGGCCTTGTAGACTACATAGTGTCCTGTGATATATCAAAAAAAAAAGGGAATGACCAAAAGAAGTTGACAAACGGGAAGAGTGATTAAAATATTACAGTTGCAATCTTAGATTAAGAGAAATATCAGACACTAGGACTCCCAAGTATTAACTGCAGTACTGCCTTCATTACTTTGAACATGCTCAAATATTTGTAGAGCAAACAAATAATTGTTCTCTTAGCACTAAGAAACAGATGACTAATGCAGCGTGTTTATTTTCATAATAATAGAATATATCTTTGGGTAAGCCTGATCTATTTGAAAATGTTTATATGTTCCTTATTGAGTACACAATCTTTTTGGTTAATATCAGAATCATGACAAATGTCAAAGATGCCCAGCTTTGACCCAGGCAGCCACTGAGTTGGAAGGAACACTGGAG